CATTTGCTACGATGTACTGTGACTTTAACTTGTTAAAAGGCAAAAGTAACAGCGAGCGTATTCTAAAAAGCGTGAAGAACAATTAATTACTGTCACCATCATATTCGTATTCCAATTGTCGTTGACAAAGTGAAACGCTGCGATGTTTAGTTCAAGCAACTACAGTCGTGATATATCATGGTGCATCAATGTAAATGTATAACAAACATCATATGTTTGAAAACAATTTCACATAAAGAAAAAGAATTAATGACAATTAATCAAAGAGAAAGTAATTAATTTATTATTTTTCCTTCGCCTTTCTTTTGATCTTCAGAGTTCATTTCTTTTTTTTTATCTTGTAATTGCAGTTTTGTGAATGGTGTAGCTAATATTGTAGCAAAAAAGTAACTTGTAAATAAGCCTGAAGTATACATGAAGAAATTGGATATTATTTTTCTACGTGTTTATTTCATATGACTTCGTGAAAGAAAACTCTGGAGAGAAATTCAGTGGCACACAGTAAAATGGAAACGAGCGAAACATACCAGACTGTTAAATTGCATAAGTAAGGTACGAGACGTTACTTGCTCTAGCAATATTCGCGGAATATAATGAGCGGAAGGGGTGAAAAGACTTTCTAAGCCAAGTTTTATCGCCAAGCGGTGAGAGTCTGACCCTGTTTCGTGGCGAGGTCATTCTGATATATTCTATATGCTCCAGGATTTTAAGCTTTATAATCGGTTCTTATAGAACGTTTTATATTTAAGTCTATCTCAAATATAATCTAAGATATCATAAATCAATGACATGAATACTGTATTAACTTATACTTAATACTGTATTAACTTATCTTAAGATAATAATTAAAACTTGAAATAAGAATAAACTATAAATATCAGCCTTAAAGTTTTCATGTTAAAAAGAAGAGTATACTTTTTACACAAGTTGGTTTACGTTTCTTTCAAACAATTTTATATCTTGTACAGTTAGCTTCACGTTTATATGAAAAGAAATTTATGCTCTATGAAATTATAATACAGCATCAATAATTCATTAAAAATAGAAGCAAATAATAAAAGTGAAAGAAGAGAATTTATTAAAATAACGGAAATGAAAATAAATGAAAAAATAAATGAAAATAACGGAATTGAAATTAATGGAATTTACGAAGAGATGATTATTTTAATAATACATTACTTTTTATTGTCTTTATAATCTAAATTAATAAACATTTCTATGTATAATTTTATATATATAATTTTATTTAAAATATTTATGGAATCTCAATCATCTGACAAAAATGATCTGATACCGCACAAATACTTTCTTGAAACTTTCTGTCATTGCGTAGATTTCTGACATCTAAGATAAATCTTGCGATGCTCTTTTCTCTTCCATTTGTTCTTATCGTTTTCATCATCACGACTCTCCCTCTGATATGACTAGCAATGAAAGTAGTTTGCTATGCACAATGATCATTTTACCCTTTCTTTAACATCCATAATCATTTTCGCGGTTTGACATCCAGACCAATCCAATTCCGATTTGGAGTAGGCCAGCTAATCCTACAGTAACCGGAATCGGAAGTAAAAAAATATATGCCTCTGCCGTGCTATTTCGTTCTTGTTCATAATAAAGAAGAAATGATTTGTTTTACGTAATTATCCTAATTCTGCAACATAATAAAGATCGATCCATGGTTATGAATTAACTAATTGCATATCATGGATAACTCATATGTTGCTTTCGAATATTTTAAAAAAGATGTTGTACTCAACGCTTTATATTTACGTAAAGACTTCCCAAAATTTGCAAACTCTTGATCTATTGATAATAAATGTCAGAAGATGAAGAATGTATAAACTGTATATAATAGTGTAGATTGTAACATATACGATGATCTACATGTGGCCGTGTCTATTGATTTTGTTTGGGATGACACGTATTGACACGTAATGTAATAAATGCGAAGATACAGCGGAAATCGATGAAAGAGCATACCTAGCTGTGCGACAAGCGAGAAAAGAAATCGTCCGTTTCTGGGTCGGCGCCAGACAAAAAAATCCTAGATCGGTGAAAATCTGGCGGAAGAATCGGAAGCTGCTCGTAAAACGGAAACTGTTAAGATGCGTTTCACTCGCGCGACGAGCAGGAATCACCATCGGCGACGTGAGAGAGGAAGACATGGATAAAGGAAGAAAAAAAAGGAATGACGGAGGTTTCTGGGCCATGAAAGCGCAAAAATCGGTAAACGGGCGATTCCACGATTTGTTCGCCGATCCGATTCTGTCTACATCGAAGAAGGTCAAATCGGCGATTTACCGAGCATGAAAATCAACGGCGACTTTCTTTGTCCTTTACGCCGACGCGATGTCGGCGTGTCCTTAATTGTGCAGCTATTCAGTCAGAAACATCATTTCCTGTATCATCACGGTACGATTAAAATAATATGTATAATATTAGGTGTAGTAAAAAGAAATCCATTATTTTTGCATGAAGTTGAATGGAAAAATAATGGATTTCTTTTTACTACACCTAATATATGCAGAAAATAAATATAATATAGTAGATAAATAATTTTTTTTGTAATATATTTGTCAAAAGAGATTATTGCAGATAGAATTATTTAATTATACATAATAATTATACATAATAATACTAATATAAGTTTATATATAATAACACTAGAATAAGTTTCAATAAAACTGTATATTCCATTACAGAATGAAAGAGAGAGAGAGAGAGAGAGAGAGAGACGCTAAAATTTTTAACTAACATAAATTTTACATGTTTATAATAATAAAAATAATCTGAATATTTAAATACTTAATAATTAAAAAATAATTTAAATATTTAAATAAATATCGCGTTATAAATTATTCAAATCTCTTAATGTTGACTGTATTTTATTTTAATGTAATTCTGCAATAAGTAGAAAACAGATTGTGAAGCTAAAGAAAAAATTGCAATTTCTTTGAATAAATTCAAAATTCTTCTGCAAACTTCATATATTTTATGCTTTTTCATAGGAATTAGTAAACGAAATAAGAAATTGGTCTCCAAAGAATTGAAGATTCTTGAAAGATTCCCATGCGCGATCTCTCTGAAGTTAGCCGAAACTTCTTATGCCGCGCCTAGAAGAGAGAGCAACCCATCATCGACCCACGTCAGAACATTCTGCTGTGTTTAAACGGTGAAAGTAGCGATTTGACAAAAGGTAAAACTCGCGTGAAAATGACACTATCGCCGATCGGAATCGCGCGCACAGAAGCGGGCGACAACGTTATGGCGCCGTCATATCGTCATCCTGATTGTCACGAGTGCCGCAATTAGCGCGTGACGCGAGCGGCCTAAGTCGGTTTCTCATTATCATTATCTTCCGTCGTTGGCGAAGACGAATACAACTCTCGCCGCATTGAGAAGTGAGGGAGGAGGACAATATGAGCACAAGTAATGACGGGGGAAATGATCGGAGACCGTCTCCGCGCCACTTCAATTTCTCGTTTTCTCGGTCAATCACAGTAATATCTTCGTTCATAAAGCAATCGCTCGCTTTGCGGAGCATATCGCTAAGCGGCGTGAATAATCTCATTAAGAATGGCAATTAAAATCGCCACAAGATCAAAGACAAGTTGCGTACGATCGTTTCATTGCTCTTCGTCCGGATGCATTAGGCGCGCGAATTACTGTCTGGATTTTTTCAATGTTGTAAGTGTGCCTGATTAGAGATGCTGATAAGTGAGAGAGCGTATTGTAAACAACTTGTCGAAATGATTGTTTTAACATTCAAGCGAAATCGTTATCAAAGATTTGTTAGTGGATGGAAATGTTAGTAATCATGATGAAAGAAAACAGGGGAATGTTAAAAATTTTATTTATAGCTGATAAATAAATAAATTTGTAATTTAGTTAACACAATATATATACACGGACAGAACATTTACTGAAGCATGTAAAGATTTAATTAAATACAGATTTGAAAATAATTTTGTTGAGGCATATAAAAATAATTATGTAGGCTGCTTAAACTAGTTGCAAAAATGTTAAAACTTTTTGCAGCATTACTTGAGATTCTCACGTAATTATTTTAATGGTTCAACAAAATCATTTTCAGATCTGTATCTATAATAGCTAAATTTTTAGATATTTCAGTAAAATAATTCTTTCCATATATACGTTATACTTGCGCGATAATTTTAATATAACATTTTACGATAAGATTATAGCCAATTAGGACATGTTAATATCTAAACGTATAATATCATGATATTTGTAATGTAACTGCAAACAGAATTAGAAAGATGTTTCAGCCTCATTTAGGAGAACTTTCCATCTCCATCATTTTATTCTAGTCATCTAGCTCTTGTTATTTCTGCAGAAATTCACGCGAAAGCAAGGGATTTTGAAATAAATCAATATCTTTGTACAAGAATATGAAAATGGCTTATGTTTCAATCACCCAGGAGGCTGTTAGAAAAGCGAATGCCTTAGAAACCGCTATATCCCGTGGTACCGCAAAACGTACAACAGTGTCTCGTGCAAAAATACAGACATCCTTCACTTGTCGGAGGCCAGTGATGGGCTCGATCCCATCGATCATCGATCGTGGCCAGCATGACTGACCTCGCCTCCCATTGTTGTTCCATTGTATTCCAAGAAGGATCGTTATCCAAAGGGAAGGAGAAAGACTCCGTGGGGAATCGTGGCACAGGATTATGGTTGAAGCGAGAGAAAGAAATCGCGAGGTGGAAAGAGAGAAAGAGACACGCGCGGAAATCGCGGGCGAGAAGGAGAGACAATGTGGCGCCCGTTCTCCAGGTTGACCAAGCCAAGGAGGTAAGAACGGAATAACACAACGGCTACGGGGAACGGAGGAAGATGCAAAATGGACCAAGCACCGACGAAGTGGGGATCTGGATTAAAAGCAAACGAGGGCAACGTCTCGGCAACAGAGCCATCTCGGACCTTGAGGAGTCGAGGTCGCCGACGTACTCCACTTCCGTATATTTCGTAACGTCGCTCTGTAGTCGTTATTATTGTTGTTGTTTTTATTGTTGTTGTTCCTGTTATTGTTACTATTAACATTTTGCTGTCATACGCCGACGCAATACGTTGCCCGCAATTCCCGCTAACGGATCTCCGGAAACGACGAGCAGGAGACACACAGGTCTCGTTGTTCATGTAATTGAAGGCGGCTCGGACGACTAATATCGACACGGTTAGTGCGACGCGTTGTGTACGCGAAATGTTCGTCCTCTTTCAGCGCTCTGTCGCATTACAATCATGCAATAGAATTTTATAAAATCAAGTAGACGTGCGAAGTCACGAAGTGGTCGTTCACGAGCCGGATGATGACAGTGATTTCGACGAATCGTAATTCTCTAACTGTTTATCTATATAAAACTCATTAACATAATACGATTTTGCCAGTTATTTAGCAATTTTTATAATAGCTTATTGTTATATTTAATGCTTTTTTTTCAAAATAATGTAAATTTTTCACAATTATTAATACGCGATATTTATTACTCTTCTTTTTCATATGAGAAATAAAGCTACGTAAAAATAAATTTGAAAAAAATTATTATAATGATAGCTACTTGATAAATTCAAAGTAAAAGTAACATTAATATAATAATTTTAATATTATTCTATATAATTTCCATATAACACATGTTATATATGTAACAGTTATAATTGAGTAAAAAAATTATAATATTGATATTACCGTTACTTTGGGTGTGGTTCACTTGACGCTGCAAATGCTTCAAAGTTTTTGATTGACCAATCGGAAGAAAGAATTTTTACTAATTAAATAATCAAAAAATACTTCGAAACATTCGTATCATGGAGTGGATTGAGCTTTTGTGGAATAAAAATTTTTTAGCAGATAAAGAGAATTCTATTAACAACGTTTTGAGAAATATATAAAATAAAGCTGTTCGTATTTCAGATGATGACGAGAGGAGCAATATGTCTGCTCCTGACAATTTTGATGTTAGGAGGTTCTTTGGGTAGCACAAGATATTTTGTGAAAATGCGAACGAATGCGTCCGACATGTTCAAAACGAAAGCGGACAATTTAAGGATTCTTCATGATCCGATAGCAATCACACCGAATCCTCTGTACGATAACATGGGAAACGGGCATCAAACCGATGAGAGAATGACCAAAGAGATATCGAGCGATCAGTATAATCGAAGAAATTCCTTTGTCGAATCTTCGACCTTCAATCCGGATGTGCTCAATAAGTTCCTCGAGGATTACGCGAATAAAGTTAAGAGTACTACCGAGAGGAATTTCAAATATCCTTTCAGAATTGTAAAACCACCTGCGGAACCTCTTATGCTTGAAATCGATAGCGAGATTATCGAGACGACGACCATCCACGAACAGGACGATAAATTTGATCAAATCTCAAATGCTACTTCAACGGATGATGCGGTAAGAAATATGTTTTAGATAATAAAAAATAAGATGTATTTTGTTTTTTGCAGAATCGAATAAAAAAGTAAAGGAAAAATTAAGCAAAAAAATGATGTTTTAATAATTTTAAATCTTGCAGTAATAATTTATTATGCAATTATCGTTAGATAATAAAAAATCACTCTCTTACTTCAAAAATGACAGCAAAAAAATATGATTTTCGAATTATTATCATAAATAAATTAAATAAACATTACCCTATAACTTCATAAAAATCGTCAAAGTTGTCACAATTTAAAAAGAATGATTTTTTAATAGTTGCAAAACGAAAATGACATTTGATCATACTAAGAAAATATTTTTTGCTAATATATTATTGGATTTAAAAGTTAGTAATTTTCTGTCAAATTGAAAAATAATTTTGCCCCTTCTTCGGAAAAAAAATAATTTTTCCTCTTCTTAATTTTTTTGTAGTTATTATTTTTGAAGTAAGATATTGATTTGTCGATTTATTTTTTGTTATCTTTGCTGGTTTAGTTAAGCGAGGCGTTAAATGATACCTTGAAGAGAAACAAATACTACGGTACAAATACTTATGAAGATAGAAATGGCTGGGTGACATTGGAAGCAATTCCGTGGTCTAAGAGCAAAATTTCAAAGTGGCAAGCTAATCCCAGTACACAACGACCTTGGCCAGAGATAAAACCATGGGATAAACCGAGCATGAAACCATGGGCCAGCGACTATACCGTCAGACCCACTTATGAAAACAACAAACCGTGGTAAGTACCACAACCGTTAATTTTCTTTTCACCACATAATCTTATGTACAATTTGAAAATGGGTTTTGTGGTTGTTATGATGAGAGATATTATATTTATCATCATTAGTTAACATCGATATAAAACTTTCTTTCGTATAAGTGTATTTACAAAGTTCATCAGGTGTATCTTTTATGATACTCTCTACATTAATATTAAGAAATATATTAAAAAAGTCTCGTAAAAATTTATTCACTTTTTATTTCAATTTTATTCCTTTCTTTATATAATAAAGCTAATTTATTACAAAAAAATATCAATAATTTTTTTACTTCTTAATATTTTAATAAAGATCTTAAGACTTATAATTATAAAAATTTTATAATTATAAAAAAATCTTCAAACTTCTCTAAAAATTGCATTACTTGCCTATTAATTGGATATCTATTATTTACTTTATATTATACTTCTCGACGAAATATCGGCTTTAGGCAAATGAGAAAACAAACGATCGTATCTCAGGTACGACAAGCCAAAACCCAACTGGCCAGAGAGTAGCGAGAAACCGTGGCAGAAACCGATTTCACGTCCCTCTTACTATCCTGATGACGCGTCTAATCAAGCGCAGAAGTGGCCGCCAGAGAGACCGTTATGGAACAAGTACGATCCTCATCGTCCCAGTAGCGATATCATCACAGACGACAGACCGTCCAACTTTCCCAGTACTTGGTCCAGACCACAGAGCTCCTCATATCAATTTATCGATAAATATTCGGATCAATCGGGGGATGGAAGTAATTGGCACAATTACCCATCCAAATACGACCAGGACCGACCTCGGCCGACTTTAATCACCGAAAGGCCGAATTTCTCGCATTATCAGTACGTGAACAATCATCCACCGAATCATCCGGCGAGTGGCGACGGCCAGTGGATTCTCTTGTCAACGAATCGAGGATATTCCAAGTCGAGGCAGAGATCAATCAAGTTTGATACAATAAACTCAGCAGAGCCGTTTAAGAGAATCAATACGACAAGTCGCGGAAACGAGGAGGAAGAAGAAGAGCTTGTACCTGTGATGACATCGAAACGTCAGGTTAGGCTAAATAATCAAAGAGAGTTCAAAAGTTAATTTTAATTAAACTAAAGTATATCCTTTCCCTTGTATCAGGCAATTTTCTTTTCATTTTAACGGATCTGACTGTATTTAACAATAATTATTCAAGCAAAATAACAAGTCATGAAGTTAAAATGACATTAAATAAAATTAGATTGAAAAATTTTTTTAAATATTTTAGAACATTATTTTGATATCATGATGACTTGTATTCTGCTTGTAACAAAATATTACGCGACATATTGTGATACTAATATCAATATAAATCAGATGATTTAATTTCACGGAGATAGTTATTATTAGTGACAAATGAATTTATCGAAAAAAAATATTATTGATGGTTGCTTTATGAAAGATCGTTTACCTAGGTCAGATTGACGGTATTGCCATCGATCAACGGCACGAATACGACGACGTCCCACGGAGGCCTTTTAGAAGTGGAGAAGACGTTCAAGAGCGTCGAGCAGAGCCGCAAAGAGTACGAGATGGAGAAGCTGTCGACCACGCCGAACATTCTGAACAAAAGACCAATCAGACACACAACTCTGAGCACGAAACCATCAAGTTCGGCCGTTTTAGCAGCCGTCGGAGCAGGTATGGCTGTAACAAATTAACTTAAAATATATTTCAAAATATATACATATATTAACTGCTTATATCTGAGAGATTTACAGTTCGAGTTAATAACAATTTTAAAATGCTCTAATCTTAAATTTTTTTGCCATTTAATAAGATTAAATGTTGAAGGTTGAATGTTTAATTTATGAAAAAAAAAAATTATTAATGTATAAATAATAATATATGTATACATAATTTTAATGTTTTTATGGAAATTTCTAATTACATCATATTGCAAAAGTGAATTTAATATTATTTAATCGAATAGAGTAAATTCGTTAATTATTTTAAAGAACGATGACAAAAGTACACTTAAACTCAATTTGCGTTTGTTTAAATTAATACGTTTGTTTGAATTAATTATCGTACCATTTGTGAAATGACAGGTATGCTGCCAGCGACAATGGCGATGATGATACCAATGATGCTGGGTCGTCGAAAGAGAGATCTGAGACTGATGAACAACGATCTCGAAATAGACTTGCATAAGTTCGCGAGGGAGTATAACGTTCAACTAAAGAGATCAGTAGGACTATAGGAATTAAGATAGCAGAATTCGTTCGGAGAACTCATTAGGATGACGAATAACAGAGAACACAACACACGATATATGTGCAGGATTACATTGAAGTGTAAGATGTAACAATGAAGATCCAGAAACGGAAATGGTTTTATCAGAAATTAATTTCGTAATATTAAATTAAAGAAAACGCTACATCATATATATTAGAATGTATAGTCTCATTATCTTTTATATATCGAATTTTTCAAGTCTACCAAAAATCTTACTTGCAAAGATTGAACTACAAAAAGATAAAGTTTAAATTTTTCGATCGCATATTGGATTTGAAGTCAAGTAGTGTGCAAATCACTTTCCAAACATTGCGTTGTTATAATCAGACTATAGACTGCATATTAATACTGAATACGTTTCTGAATAATCAATGTATTCCTATTCGTACAGAGACGAGGGTATAAGTAAAATCGATTTAGAATCAACCTGTTGCTGTTCTAGTAGTCATCGAGTAAAGAGTAAACTTGGGGGTAAAAAATCTATCATAATTATACTGAAAAAAAAATGTCCAAGCATTACTTTGCTTCATCGTTTTACATTATCGCATTTAAATTGTTTTTGACACAGTGCTTCGATTGTGTAAAAGCAAACGTAACAGGTTCCGACTTTAATCGCTATGCATTAATATTTATTATCTATATTTTATGTTTGATCAAACCGTCAGCGAATGTAAATTTCCAATTTTTCTGCGATGCGACAAGTGCTTCGTTTGCAACAAATTAAATTAATTACGTTGCCATAAATTCGTTTATAATTCAATTATTTTAGACTCGAAATATTGCAGCAACTTTTCGTTTTAAAGATGAATGTTACGCTTTGACGCGAGAGAAACACAAACGTTTACATTCTCCAATATTTATTTACATAGCGCATATCAGGGTGTTACATAGAGAGTTTATATACTTATCTATTTATTTATTTATTCGTTCAATTTTATTTATTCAATTATATAATGTACTTTACAATAATTAAGCTGCCCAATAATCGGCTCCATCATACGTCTTCGCTCGCCCTCCAGCGAGAGGGTAAGAGAGCAGCGCGCATATACCAAAACAATTGTAGAGAGATTAAAAAGCGACTTTCAATAAAGATCCAATCGATCCTGTGTGGAAGAGAGCGAGAGAGAAAGAAAAATCTCTCGAAACCCTTCACCAATTCCGCGTCTATCTCGATCGTCTTGCTTTCGATAAATTATCCCTAGAATACATTTTATCACATGTATATCGCGTGTCGAAAGGCATTCTCACACAAGGACCCGAAGGCTAAAGTTAAACACTTTGTTAATCGAATAGAGTCTTTTTTTAGGGAACATGCGGGTTGAGGACATTTTCGTCGCGATTCCTCGCGTGATGAGAAGGAACCTGAAAGAAGATGCGTTACCCGTCTACAACGTTTACGACGATACCTTGAAAGAGGAGACGCGTATTCGATCGTAACAGTAGTCCGTATTCCCCTTCATCGTTTTAGCTTTCTAAGTGAAAGGACGATCGTCTATCGTATCGCATCGCATCATTTACGGATGGACAAAAATGATTGTCCGTGAAATCGCGTTTCAAATCGGTCGCAAAGAAGTCCGGGAAGAGGGAGAGAAGAAGAGGAAGCTCCTTCATTTTCTTCGACTACCGTTATCTACAGGACTATGGTCCGTCACCGTTATCCGCCGCGTATCCACCATATTGCGCCGTGAAATTGGAAAATGCGTATCGCCACACGACTCGAGAACTTCCATCGCTGCTCCTCTGAGTTCTTCGCTTCCTTCTCATTCCTCGCCGTTGATTCTCTTTTGCACGTGACCCAGATACCGCGCGAAACCCTCGCTGGCATGCTTTAGAATTGTCAGACCCAATCTGAACTTGATTTCGGCCACCTTCTTTACAAAATTTATGAGACTGAAGCCCTCTGAAGGCTTTTTCGTGGTCGAACTGTCGAACCACTCGATTGTTTCGGGAACCTTCGAGTTCGCGGGATGCGTGGTATCAGTAGACTTTTCTGAAGAGACGCTGGTACCGCCGTCATCTATTTTTCCGATGGTCGTGGAAGTCGCGGAAATCTCCGTCGTGTCCTCTGTATGTGTAGTTTTCAAGGTGGATTCTTTTGCATGCGTATTAGCTTCTTCTTGTTGTTTCCTCTTCTGCCCCTCGAGATCCTCTACTTCGTTTTCATTGCCCCTCGTTTTGTGTGGTACTTCGCCACCTGGTAGAGCCGAATCAATGATATCCAGAATCTCGTTGCTCAGATCTTCCTCCTTCTCTGCCTCCTCGCGCTCTTCTTCCAGTTCGCGTTTCGTCGGAATTATCTGAATTACCGACTCTCTCTTTGATCTTGAGCGTCGCCCTCGGCAATCCTCATTAAGGACAGAACGTTTGACCTTAAGAGATCGCGGCCCGTGCTCAACAGCCACCGCTGTTGGCGTTATTTCAATCTCTTCGTATCCGTCATCCGCTCGGATAGTTGATGCTCCCAGATGTCCATAACTGTGCAAGCCGGCCGCGTTAGGGAAATCAAAATCTTGCGTTATCTCCCGCTCGAATTGCGTTTGTCCAACCTCCGTCGACATGTAACTTTTCTTATTGTCCACCGGCAAGTTCGCTGCTTTCACGTCGAATGGATACTCCTTAGGTACGTTGCCAACTACGAATTGCCGATTTGCCGCTGAACTCGTACCGATTTCCGCGAAATCTGGACGTTTGCGATCATAATAAACTGGAGTGGTTTGTGCTTCAGGATATTGGAAGTCCGTGTTCCGATATTTTACTGCTGGTTGAGTATTCTCCACGGCTTTGTAAACAGGAGAAGTAGACACCGATGGATATCTTGTTTCGAGCTTCTTCGTTTGAGTATCATATGCACCGTCATAATGCTGATAATGATAGTAGTTACTGTTATAATTATCTTTCGTTCCTGGATACTTATTTTCATAATTCGTCATACCCTGGAACACCTTGGATAACATTTCCTCCTCGCTCTGCCCATAATTACCACCATATTCATCCATATTGTACTTGTAATTCGGCTCCACGTCGTAATTTCTTCGGGTGATAGTACCGCCGAAGGGATACAGGAAATACGAAGCGAGGCCAAGACCCAAACCTACCAGTGACATAACGCCAAAGCTAGGCATCACTTCGCGACTGAGGAAGTTGTAGATCTGAGTGCTGATTGCCTTCTGTGGTTGCTTCTTCTTAGTCTTCGTCATGTTTGCCCCGACTTTTGTTTCAGGCGCGATCTTCGATTCCTGGACTGCGTTATCCGTGATGGTGGAATCAGTAACACTCTCATTGGTTTCCATTAGAACAGACACCATCGTCGAGCTTGGTGCCGAGGTTGTAGTAGGTTTGCGCCTTCGAGTCTTGTTCTTCTTTCTCTTCGAGTTATGCCTCGGCCGCTTCGTCGTAGTTGACGCTGTCGCGCTTGTCGATGTCGTCGCATCGTCCGCTTCCGCTTTTGTTTCTACATTAACTTTGGTCAATTCGGGATTAAACTCAAATTTTAGATCTATTCTGGAGTCATTAAGATCATCCGGATCTTTCATCATGATTTTGTCCATGTTATCGACCTTCTCAATTGTCAAAATTGGCGCGTTTACTTTGATCGGCTCTATTTCGATTTGTGTGGTCTCATCAATAGGCTTCTTCAGTTGCACCTTTAGCACGTTATTTCCTTTCGTGTTGACCGGCTTCGATCTCACTGGTACTTCTACGAGATCCACGGTCGACAAATTCGACTTGAACGTTGTACTAGTGCTCACGGTAGTTGGAAATAAAGTAGTCGGGGTTTTCTGAGTGTCCATGAGCACCGACGCTTTTATTTTCGTAACGAACATTGGCTTCTCAGTATTTTCCAACTTGTCTTGCGGCGTTGTGATAATCGAGATCGGTTTGAAAGTCACCTTCTCAATTTTACCAGTCGATGTGGAGGTCTCATTCTTTATCGTTTCAGGTTTGACCGTGGATTTCCTCGTTGGTTTTGGTCTCCCTGGTTTCGTCGTTGTCGGTTTCATTGAGGCCGGCTTCGTTATTGCCGGCTTAGAATGTAAAGTTGTTCTCGGCGTGGTAATTTTCGGCTTAGAAGTAGTTCGCGATGGTTGACTCTTCTTCGTCGTGAGAACAGTCAACGTAGCTGTTCCATCACTCGTCGTCGAAGTGCTTGTTGTTGTGGTGCGAATCACCTTCAAAGTTGTGCTCGATGAAGTTTCCAAATTCTGAGTAACTTTCTCCGGTTTCGAAGTAGTCATGATTTTCTTTGTTGTCGTCATACTCGGTTTCTTCGTGATCACAGTCACTTTCTCGGTAGTTATAACAGGGGTTAACTGTGGCGTGGTCTTCTCCGTGATCTTTTCTACCTGCGGAATCGTTTCTTTTTCGATCGACGAACTTGGTCTTACTGTAAGTCGTACTTCTGTTTGAAATGGCTGCTGTGTCTTCGATTTCTCAATCTCTACGCTTTTTACGGTTGTGGATGGTGGATTCAGCAGGATCCAAGTGGAGATGCCGCCAGTAGTCGTCGGATGATTTTTGTAGGCGGTAATCAATCTTGTTGTGCTCATCTCTCGCTCAAGCTCTTCTTCTGTCATCGCCATCGCTTGGCCTGGGTGACTACTCTCGAAATAACTGAATTTAGAATTAATTGGTCTACTGAAATGCACAGGCTCTAAATTGATCTCTGAACTAACATCCCTCATCAACAAAGAGACACTGTTTTCCGAGGATTTTGGCGTAGTCGCGACATTGTGTTCGACCTTGATGAGATCTTTGTTATTCACATTTATCACGTCCTTAGGATTTGTAACGTTGAGGAGTTGAGTGGCGACGGTTCTCAGAGACTGATCCATATATTGTAAATCCTTCAAATCACGATGAGTATCATTCACTTGCCCACTATAAAATAAAATTTCATCATTAGATTTTATTGAGGAATTTTAAAATATAATTTCGCTGAGCATTTCCAATTTTTATCATTATCACATATTAACATGATTAACATAATGAGGTATCGCTTCATATATAAAAGATAAGTTTATCGTGTCATATTGTAATAAATATTGTATGTGAACAATGTAATATTTCATTGTTCTGAACCGTGATTTTTATTAATTATTCATAAAATAATAAGATATACATACACACACACACACATTTTCTCTCTCTCTCTCTCTCTCTCTCTCTCTCTCTCTCTCTCATTTATTATTAATAATTTTTATGAACAAATATATAGCCGTTAGCCGGATAAATTAAAAAATTAGCAAAAATGTTTAATGGCTATTAAATTTCTTACCTTTTCTGTGCAATAAGTAAAGCTTGATTTGCACAGATTGATACCTTGTCAAACATCATGAGTACAATTAATTGTAAGTTAAGAAAGTAATGAAGTGCAATATTGAAATAAATTATTATCTACAATATATTTCAGAATAAAATAAAAAGATTTTCTCTAAATTGAAACCCTTATATCTCAGTTATAAACTTTAAATTATTTTCTATCATGAGAGATGTAATTTAGAAGCAGTAATTTTTAATTAATTGTTTTAATTAATAGGAATCGAAAATAAGAAATTTCCGCGAATCTAATTTTAGAAGAAGAAATAGATTATAACTACAGTCTTCAGTTCTTTCCAATTTTAATTTATAAGATAAATTTAATTTATAAAAGAAAATTTTTTAAACATAGTCGCAATAGCTGAAAAAGAAATTATGTAAAATTAAATCTTGATGGAGCAAAACTTATTTTTATACTTGATTTAAGAAATTAAAGTAAGTACATAATGTAAATACATAATAATAAATGTAAGCGTAATCATTCGACATTTTGACACAATTAAAATAATAATAAGATTCTTCCTTTATGATAAATTTTGTTATTTTTCTACCGCAATAATAGAAAGGGATTTAGAAGGATCGCAGGTAAAGATAGGATATCATATATTTTTTATACAGCATACAAGAAGGCGTAAGAAATTATATAACTGCCCAATGAGAGAAATATTAATCTTTGTTTGGAATATTTTATTAACATTACATATTCGTTGGCACAAATACTGTTAATGCCCTGAAATGCTGTAAAATTTAATTAAATTAAAGTATCAATACAAAAAGAAACATTAAACAATCCTTTGCAGTCTTATGTCGAGTTGAACTATTGAATAATTTTTTACAGTAATCTATCGCGGTATGTATCAATAAACTATGTTGGAATCTCAATAAATTTCTCTGAATAAATAATAAATATTATTTGATTAGTGTTGAACCCTCTAATTAAATAAAATTATAAACGAAATACTTGATCTTCATTTATTTAAGTGAAATTTAGTCCGCAAAGAGATAATATTGTATTCAAAGCATCTTTTTTAAATCTATATAACAAATTTTTATAGATATATGATACGATAAAGAAATGACGCAGTATTCTCATTAGTCTACACATGATATAATAACGATGAATAGTAACATACCGTTAATTAATAATTATTAATAGTAACGTTATAAAACGTTATAAAATATTAAATTAATCATTGCACGGATTGCCGTCCATTCATGTAATTATGTGATTATGTAAATAGTGTTTTCTTACTATGCTACATTTGGCGTAAGAATAAAGAATAAAAATTAAATATTATATAAAATATATTATTTGCGAATATAATCATCTCAATTATTTTACATATATTTATAAAGGACGGATGCGAAAACTACTAATTATTATATTTATTTCATTATGATTTTATCCGCCCAATCGAGTAAATCTCATTCTTAATGAATGAAAATATATACAATTATTTGCATTATCATTATATATGCTACATTAGTGTATCCACATAATGTTTTAAAAAACAAACATAATCATCTAGCTATCTTCTCTCTTTTCTACTAATCACGTATCATTTTCCGGTATCAAATGATGCATACGATATATCTTTTAATTTCTATCCAATTTAAGTAAAAGTAATTCTAACAGCGGGAGTGTACTTGCTTCATACAAGCTTGCTTTACACTATGGCTCTCCTATTTATCTGAAGTTTATCAAGCGTTACAAGATCAATCGGTGTTCGATTCATCTTCTGCGCTTCCTACGTCTACTTTTCCATTCGTTCAGACGATCATACTTGTGCACGGCTTGTCTGACGAATTCCTCAAGGTTCGGTGTGAAACCGATCGTCTTGTCAGCGGAGCGCCCGAATTCGAAAGCACTCGGTAATGCCCACGGGAAGATGAACGCAGCTATGCCGAGTATACCAGCTGCCATTGCGACAAACGGTGCTGAGGTGAGACTGACGACGCCATAACCCAACGGATTTAAAAAGGAAAAATACGTGAAGGCCTTAGCAATGTACTGTAATACGTCGCCTGGCGACATATCAAAATCAAAATCAAAATCATCATTATCATCATCATCGTTGTTATCGGGTAACGCTCCTGAAGCCGGCGACAAGGATGAACCAGCACTGCTCGATAAATCGGGTTTAGTTGCGATATTAAGACTGGGAAGATTCGGTAATGCTGACAATTGCAAGGAACCTGGACCAACATTGGATTGACCGGTCACCGGACCGGGTTTGACTAAATACACCGGCAATTCCTGAACGACGGGCACAGATGGATTTTCGGAACCGAGAGTTCCGACAACAGATGGCCCGCTCGCGGAAGCACCAGCAGCTGGTGAATTGATAGCGGAACTTGATGCGTCATTGCCGGGACCATTGGCAGAGCTCTCTTCCGCGTTCGTTAATGAAACGCTGATCTGAGTGCCCTGAGACACTTCAACTGTGTGAAGACTATCGATGGTCGACAATCCCAAAGATTGAGCGGGATCTAGAATTTCACTAGGATATTTCTGGGAATCGTAATAGTCATGTTGATCTGGTTGCAGCGTTTCGAGCAAGTTGGAACCATATGTTCCAGTCGAAGCGGTTACGTAACTATTCAAAGAATCCACATGGGAAAGATCGGTAAGCACATCAGAATATTTCTCGCTCTCATCTGTACTACCGTAATTCTGCGCCGCTAATGAGGTCTGATGGTCCTCCGCAGTTGGCGGTGCGCTGCTCGGCTTAAACACATTCATATTCAAAACATGTGAATTGACGATTATATTCAGATCTGTGCATCCTTCCTTGCTTTGAAGCGTATTGTTCACTCGAGTATAAGTGTTTATCATAATCGTCGGACAATTTGTATTGTAAGTCGACGAAGGAGAAGTATCGGTCTCTTGCTTGGAAATATTTTCATTCTTGTCATTCTGAGAAGTGGACATTACATGAACGTTGGGTTTCTGCGTCAAGGACTCTGAGGAAGATCCTGAAGAAATCACTTGATTGGCAGCTGTCACATCTGTTTCCGGTGCTTTCAATTGAGTCACAGTTACATTCGATTTCTTCAGACCATCGTTCAAGATATGAACCACCGTATTCTGTGTCACGTGTGTCGTAGGATTATAAACGGTCTTATTCTGCAGCAATGCCCCACCGAGCCAGGAAGAAGGAATCAAAGGAGCGGAAGGATTCGAAGAATCTGTTTCATATTTGAGAGATGTAATTGAATTTGGATTTGACCATCGGATTGGATAGTTTGAGTCTATTGTATCAAGATTCTGACTCAGCGGTACATCTTGAAGAACGACGGTCTCATAATTGTCATCGTGAATATTCAACGGACGATTGGGTTCCAAATTTTCATAGATCGATTCTAAATTCGACTCGATCGGCTTGTCATCATTGTAATCGAAATGCGTATTATTCGGAATGATTTCCGGCACCTTTAACCAATGGATAATCTTCTTTACACTGGAATCAAGGATTGGATCCGCATGATCAAAATAGTTGTTTGACAATAGGATCGGTGTTTCTTCAGCACTCGACTCATGACTCGATTCCTCGTCCAGAGATGAAGTATACTTCTCATAATTGTATAGATCTTGAGAATTCTGAATTGCATCATTCGGCCAGTTTTTCAAGTACGCATCGTATTGTACGGTCGTATCGTTATACTTATCTATCGTTTTGTTTTCAGTACCAACTTTCTGACTCGGCGATTCCTGAACAGACGAAGAATTATTTTTCATCGGTTTGGACGTCACATGAATGTCCAAGCTGACGGGCTTCTTCGCACCTGTTCGCGTAAAGTGCTTTATTGGTTTTCTCAGTTGAATGTCGGTAGAAATATCGTTACCATTCTTCACTTTCAACGCGACGTTGCTGGCATTCCGCCAATTCGAAGTCGAGTATGGATACCGAAGCTTAACGAAATTTCTATGGGAGGTAGCTGCGTTCCTATGGCGAAATGCAGGGAATTGATCAACGACTTCAGATTTCAAATTCGAAATCAAGGCTGTTTTCATGCCATGCGTCGATCTTTCTGAATTATTCAAGTCACCATACTGATCGCCAATGGAGCGAGAAGAATTAGTAACGACACTCGGCTTTCCATACGAAATCACGCTCGAATTTGTAGGTTTGCGAATCGAATTACGATCTTTATGAATAGAATGAGTAGAAGCATTTACCTGAGAATCGTTCGGAACATTTGTCCTCGCTATTTGCAAAGAAAATCTATTTACACCCTGCTTCCAACGTGACATCTCGCTTTCAATATCTTTATTCACGAATGAATCAAACCTAACTGAACTGGACTTCCGACGATTTTCTACTGCAACAGAGATATCGTCATTTGTCCTCTCGAAACCAGATGCATGAGTTGCTAAGAAATCATTTCCTGAATATGAGTACTTCGTTTGTGCGACTATTGATTCGAGATTTTTATTCGAAATCACGCCAGATTTTGATTTCTCTAAATTCTTAGCATTCATCTTTCCAGAATAATCCATTTGACCGATTTTTGAGCCGGAGCTAAATCTTGTCCAATCTATCCTTTGATTCGGAATTATTTTAGAATTGCCAGAGGAAGCGTGAAACAAAGGTTTATTTACGTTGTTCGAATTTTGAACAACAGTAGCGAATTTCGCGATATCATCTAACACATTCGTCCTTGAAAAAAGAGGAGCATTTATCGTTTTAAATTTAGGCATCGTCCAAATGTCATCGATCTTGGAATGACGAACGCTAAGCGATTGCGCTGCTGCGAAATTGTTGGCGCGTGAATTGACTGCGTTGTGTTCACGTGACGAATTGGCACTATCGCGGAAATGTGTGATATACTTTCTATTACTTCCGGAAGTCCCCGTATACCTGCTATCGTCTCGAACAATGTCGTGTGACTTGCTCGAGACTTGGATGCTTCTCCATCCCGCGTCGTTCCTTTCTATCGTCTTCGCTTGCGAATCTACGCCTGAAAGGTAAAAAAGTGATAAGAATTTTTATTTTTAATTTTAAAGAGGAATTCTAATGACACAATCGACTGCCGACACACGCAACGTTGACAAAACTTATGATAATGCACTAATAATAGCGAAATACATGGAATTACTGTGCCGTTAAAACGCGAGGATTTCTCAATGCTTTAAATTCTACCAAGTTAAACATTTCCGTCTTAGGAAATTCGATTTTGTAAGAAAAACGCGGGTGGTAACGTTGGTGCACGAGAATGAGTGGTGTAATTACGGTTTTACAAAGAAGACAAGTTGTTATCTGACACGCTATAACAATTGATGCTATTGAGTAATTACGCTCGCGATTGATGCTCTCTTATGCGTTTTCTCCATAATTGGAACATTGAACACAAATTCAATCCTTTTGAAGAAAAAATGAATAGCGCGTTTCTAAAAGAAAAAGAAAAACACAGTCGAGAATTGTATATAATATTGTAGATACAAATACAAGTATACAGATCTGCCACGTAAAACGCAAATGCATATATCTAATTACTAACTAATCACTACTTGAACATTCTCCAGTTAATTAAGATACATTAGAGATAACAGATCTGCAGTGGAATAAGCATGGTTCATTGGCTACGAATTGCACCGTGACGAAAGCATCAATTTTACGTTTAGAAAACACTGTTTCCTGCTGCCAGTTCGTCATGTTGCACGGTTTTATTGCTAAATGAGCGTTTTATTGCACCGATCATTTCTGATCGCGTCATAATTCGAGATACGTTATCATCGTAATTTTTTGTAAAACCTACCATTCTGCGGTCTGGTGTCACCCGATCCTGCTACCAACAGGACTATCACGATCTTTAGCAGCTGCATCCGCATTTTCGCACTGAAACAAAAATTAAAAAATTTAAATAGAATCTAAAAGACTAACATAGAAAAAAATTTGCTCAACTTATTTACTAATTCTGGAACGACATTATTGAGAATGTGCAACGAATTGTAAAAAGATAGAGGATGATCGAATTGAGATATGCGAGGCTAGAGGCTGTCCTCGACACGATGATCCACTCAAACGCTGAACCTGATCTTGAGCAACAATCTAGATATTCTCCAGTTTTGGATAAATTTCTCGTTGTACTATTTCATCGAAAAGTTATCGACAAGTTATCAGAGAACACATCGGTTGCAAAAAGTAATCTCACGAAAGACGCGATTGCGCGGTTTTTATGAGGAAAGAACGGTGATCGGAAACGGTGGAGCAAACGCGCGGAAGTCGAAGGTTTTAATTTTACGACCGACAAAAGATGCGATGCTTGCGTTAATATTCATGAGGATGGGTATGCACCAGCTATTTTATTGCAAGAATTTGTGTGTACCATGTACTTATATTTCGACAGTTATTATGATAATCTGACACAATGTGTTTTATAAAGTGCAAATAAATATTAATCAAATGTTATTTTTTTAATTTATTGCGAACTTATGTTTACAACAAAATAGAAATATAATTTAATTTTCTTCTTCTTCTTCTTTTGCGAATTTAATTTTTATTATTTTATAAATAGAATCATAAATATACAATGATGGGCATTAAATTTGCACATATGTATAAAATCATGGATATTAAATTTAAATATTAAACAATATCAAATTTGATAAAGGATAGAGATAGACATCTATAAAGTATTTTAAGCTACATTTCAAAATGTCCTTTCCCAGGAAAATTTTACTCGGTATATAATATACGTATATTATATATTTGTATATTATATATTTCGAGTAAAATTTTCTTCAAAGTGAACGTTTTGGAATGTAGTTTTCCAGTATAATTTGTGTTGATGTTTATTTTATAAATTGAAATTTATATTTATTATATATAATTGAAATTTATATTATATATGAATTTCAATTTTCTTCGTTTCATCTAAATATAATCAAGAATTTTACAACTACATTGAACAAAAAAACTCATGCGATTGTTAATGATTACAGCAATAACGCAATTGTCGAGACAGTTGATTCTGGTGAGTTTACGTAGGTTACACGGCATGAATTTCTGATCATCGATTTGTCAACTAAGGTTTCGATTGAAAGCATCGTTCGTATTCGATGCTTATTTCCGATTGTTCCAATCGTCTATGCACACAGAATGCGAACAATAACATTACTTTACCATTGACGTAAGTTAAGCATTCATCTGCGTAATAAAATTTGTAAAATTTTATACCATACATTGCAACGCAGATAATATAACAACTTTGTTTTAATTTAAAGTCGAGTAAAAAAACCATCGTAATCATCTCTGAATAAAAATCGTAATCGACAGATATAAATATTTATATATCGAATATCGACATACAAATATAAATTAAATTTTAAAACAATACATTATGTAGATGATATTTTAAATAACGGTTACAAAATGCGGCAGCCACGAAATACCGAAACAGGAGGGAAGAGGACAGACTGATGATAAACGAACAGAACGTCCTTCCTCCTGCGTTGAAATCTTTACCGAAAGTTTCAGTGAAGGCTCTTAGGCTTGATTTGAAGTAGTCTATGCGCTGTAAACCCTACATAACTCTTGGATGGAATTTTCTAACGATCACACAGGTGATCGTCACGTGGAGATTTTTTTACCGTTGCATTTTTTTCATTCTCATATTTGTGTCCGCTAACGGTACTGAATGGGCGTCAATCTTCTTCGGGTGTCCATCGTATATGCCACATCATACATTTCAGGGAATGCAGTCGAAGTGCGCGAGAAGTCCGACAAGACATTATTCCATTGGTAGAGTAACCGTAGAATCCGATACGCGAATTCTACAAGCGAGGCATGTACCGTTAACCATTTAAATGTTTCTTCATGAACCAGAAAACCGCAGGCAATTTTATTGAGCCCACAAACAATGTTATGAGAAGATTATAATTACAATTCTGAAGGGATGTGTCAGATCAGTATTATAATATATCATGCAATACTATCAAATACAATTAATTGCCTGGCTAAATATAAATACTAGAATTTTAAGCAGTTTGTCGAGTTTAATTTTCAAATACTATAAATTATTTGAAAATATATTATTAAACAAGATTATTTGCTACGCTTATAAGAACCATTATGAACGCTTTAATTTAATAATTAAAGTATTTGTATACTATAAGCATTTATATAATAATTACAAAAATTGAACAAGAATTTCAATTTGAATATAATTATTTTAATAGAGTCGATAATTTTCTAATGAATAGAACCGTTGTACGCAACAATAATTGTTACTATACATGTTCTTTTTATTTACGCACTGACTATTTTCGATGGCAAGCATGGATAGCAATTTTCTATAACATTCTAGCGTAAATAGACGCAAATGCATTTACGGGAAATTACTCTCCCTCTCTCCATACCTAATTCAAATCATTTGAACGACTAAAATCTAATATATAGGCATAATAATTTAATATATCAATAAATAATAAAGAAAGGAATTAATAAGAAATTGACAGATTAATTAAAAAAATAAATTATAAATTAATAAATATATAAAGGAAATAATTCAATATTTTATAAATTTATTAATTGTATCAATTGTAACAAAACATTGCTTACTTAAGCTGCAATAGATATCTGTAATCCTTGCAAATGTCAGATAGGAAATTTAAGTGAAAAAAACAGAAATAGCTTGTGTCAATCTTCGAGCTGATAGATGGAATCACCAAAGATTATTCGCATTATAATATTCCTGAGATCGCAAGAATGATATCCTCATTTCCGGAACGTTGAACGCCAGCGGAAAAGATCGCGCGCAATAGACACGCTATTAACAAACAGATTTGCGCTGTAACGAGTGCTGAACATCCATTGCCGCTAGAATTAGATCATAGCGGATAAGAAACAAAACGACAAGGCATGAAGAATGGCAGATGATCAGCTGACAGTGAGTCTCTCGATCATCCAGGTCAGTAAATCGCATTAATTTCATTGCGATAAGATCAAATCATATTCAAAAGGCAAAATAAGCAGTTATATTGTGAAAATCAATACGCCTCCATATCGTGACCGATTCGCACAATAGACATTTTTCACGCAAAAATGCTGATCCTTAACTTATAATTCACATTAATAACGATAGTATTTGCTATTTCACTATCGCGAAAGACGCTCTAGTTAATTTCTTATCCGTGCGAAGATTTCATTATAAAAAACAGTTTCAGTAAAGCGTGAAAAACTAAATAATTTAATGACAGAGAGAAAAACAGAGAGAGAGAGAGAGAGAGAGAGGGGGGGAGGGAGGGGACAACAACGAATGAAAATTGAAAGTGTTCACGTAACACAAGCATACAGAAACATAAGCACATAGCTATTTTTATTTTTTTTTTGGATATATGCAAAATTCTTTTGCCGGAATATTAATAATTTTTAAAACTTGTTTTTAAGTAACAAAATATTTTATAGAATATTTCGTATTTTTATCCTTTTTCTATTACAGGAAATATTG